TAAATATTACTCTCTGGGGTTAATGCATTCCCTTCTCCCCGAAAATCAATTCTCCAAACTCCTATACTCTCCTCTCTTCTCACTCAGCAGTCTGTTAGAACTCAAGTCAGACTTTTTGTTTGTTTGTTTTTTGAGGCAGAGTCTCACTCTGTTGCCTAGGCTGGAGTGCAGCAGCACCATCTCAGCCCACTGCAACCTCTGCCTCCCAGGTTCAAGCGATTCTCCTGCTCAGCCTCCCGAGTAGCTGGGACTACAGGCGTGTGTGTGCCACCACACCCAGGTAATTTTTGTATTTGTAGTAGAGACGGGGTTTCGCCATGTTGCCCAGGCTGGTCTCGAACTCCTGAGCTCTAGCGATCAACCCTCCTCGGCCTCCCAAAGTGCTGGGGTTACAGGCATGAACCACCGTGTCCGGCCTCAAGTCAGACTATGCTCTTCCTCTGCTCAGAACTCTCCTGACTCTCAGAGTCAACCCAGAAGAATTTACCAAAGGCCTATAAACGGAACACTACCCTGTCCACGATCGCCTCATCTCTGTCTCTCTGTCCATCACTCACAAGCAACTCCTCGCTATTCCTCCAACGTACTGGGCACGCTCCCACCACAGGGCCCTTGCAGTTCCTATTCCTCTTCCTGGAATGCTCTTCCCAGGGGTCCAGATATCTGCCTGGCTCCCTCCTCACTTCCTCCGGTTCTCTTCCAAAATCATCCCTTGCCAGACGTGGTGGCACACGCCTGTAATCCTAACACTTTGAGAGGCCAAGGTGGGAGGATTGCTTCAGCTCAGGAGTTCAAGACCAGCCTGGGCAACATAGCAAGACCCCATCACTCCTAAAAAAAAAAAAAGAAAAATTAGCTGGGCATGGTGGTGCACACCTGTGGGCCCAGCCACTCGGGAGGCTGAAGTAGGAGGATGGCTTTGAATCAGGGAGGTTGAGGCTGCAGTGAGCCATGTTCTGAATTAGATACTGGTGATGATTGTGCATCCTTGCCAGTATAGGAAAAACCATTGAACTGTACACTTTAAAAGGGTAAATTTAGCCGGACGCAGTGGCTCATGCCTGTAATCCCAGCACTTTCGGATTCCGAGGCGGGCAGATCACTTGAGCTTAACAGTTCTAAACCAGCCTGACCAACAAGGTGAAACCCCATCTCTACTAAAAATTTAAAAATTAGCCAGGCATGGTGGCAGGTGCCTGTAGCTCTCAGCTACTTGGGAGGCTGAAGCATGAGAATTTCTTGAACCTGGGGGCAGAGGCTACAGTGAGCTGAGATTGCCCCACTGCTCTCCAGCCTGGGCAACAGAGTGAGACTCAATCTCAAAAAAAAAAAAAAAAAAGGTAAATTTTATGGAATGTGAATTATAACTCAATTTTTCAACATGCATTAGGAGGGACATTTCAAACTCTTTTTTACCCCAGCCTTCCCTACCATCACCCAGAGTATCCAGCCAGGAGGGGAGCGGCTAGCGACACCAGAAGATTAGCAGAGAGGAGAGTGCAGGGATTTGGGGGATGAGGGAATGGGATTCAGACCAGGGACAGGATCCAGGGATAGAGAGAAGGAGATGAGAGTGGTTTGGGGGCTTGGTGACTCAGAGAACAGAATTGCAGGCTCTGTTTTTGGGTTTTGGGGCCCACCCCGCCCCCTTCCGACCTCTTAGTTCCCATCCTCCAGCAGCTGTTTGTGTGCTGCCTCTGAAGTCCAGCCTGAATGACCTTCAGCCTGTTCCCGTCCCTGAGATGGGCAAACATTGCAAGCAGCAAACAGCAAACACACAGCCCTCCCTGTGTGCTGACCTTGGAACTGGGGCAGAGGTCAGAGACCTCCCTGGGCCCATGCCACCTCCAACATCCACTTGACCTCTTGGATTTTGGTGGAGAGGGGCCGAGGTTGTCCTGGCCTTGTTAGGTAGTGTGAGAGGGTCCCGGTTCAAAACCACCACCTGCTGGTTGGGGAGTTGTCAGTAAGTGGCTACGCCCCCACCCCGAAGCCTGTTTCCCCATCTGTACAATGGAAGTGATAAAGATGCTCACCTGATCGGGTTTTTGTGGCAAATAAGTAAGTGTTTTGTTTTTTTTTTTTGAGACGGAGTCTTGCTATGTCACCCAGGCTGGAATGCAATGGCGTAATCTCAGCTCACTGCAACCTCCGCCTCCAGGGTTCAAGCGATTCTCTTGCCTCAGCCTCCCGAGTAGCTGGGATTACAGGCATGCACGACCACACCCACCTAATTTTTTGTATTTAGTAGAGACAGGGTTTCACCATGTTGGTCAGGCTGGTCTCGAACTCCTGACCTTGTAATCCACCTGCCTTGGCCTCCCAAAGTGATGGAATTAGAGGCGTGAATCACTGTACCCGGCTTTTTTTTTTTTTTTTTTTTAAGAGATGGGGGTCTTACTATGTTGCCCAGGCTGGGCTCTCAAACTCCTGGGCTCAAGGAATCCTCCTACCACAGCTTCCTGAGTAGCTGGGGCTACAGTACCTGGCTGTTTTTGGTTTTTATAATTGTGATAAAATATAAACAACATGGCTGGGCGCAGTGGCTCAGGCCTGTAATCCCAACGCTTTGGGAGGTCGAGGTGGGAGGATTACTTGAGCCTAGGAGTTCAAGACCAGCCTGGGCAACTTGGCAAAACCCTGTCTCTACAAAAATAAAAAAATTAGCCGGGCGGCCAGGTGCGGTGG